CCAGCAATCAGAAGACATTGTTCCATGACCCAGCTGAGTGTCCCTTGGTGAGTTATTTAACTTCATTGCATTTCAGAATTCTCATCTATAAGATGGAGATAGGGGTGGGAGACTGTGTCCTAGTCTGTTAACTTCACAGAGCAGTGTTAAAGATTACATAATGTACAAATTAGAAAGCATTTTATAATACTTGTACAATATAGTTATTTATTGTTCACTGATGGTCAGCAGTACTATTTCAGGCACTAAATAGAAACAAAAATGCTGAAAAATATCAAATTGGTATCCTCTCTCAAGAAGTTATAATTGAGCAGGAGAGGCAAAATTAATATACCAGACTTCTGGAGTGAGGTCATCAAATCCTGTCCCCTTAAAATGTTATCTCTAGAAATGGAACAAACACTTAACACAAACTGAGCAGCACTTATTTATGAAAAATTATTGAATTTTAGGTCAACAGTAGGAATCTGTGGCATTCTTGCCTGGGACTACTCTCACCTCCCTCCACCTGCCACTACCTCCTCACAACAGTTCTAATGGGGTAGGGCAGGCCATAAATTACCAGCAGCTTCATTGTCAGTGGGGGCTGACTTGATTTGGAGCAAAAGATGAGGAACTCTGGGCCTGTGGCATTACCAGTAATAAGTAGCAATCTCAGAGCAAGCTAACAGGAAAGGTCAGAACAGAAGTTCTACTAGCCTGAGACTATAGTTCTCATTAAGGCAAGCAACAGGCCAGTGGACTAACCAGAAATTTAAGAGGGAGATACAAGCAATAAGGCAGTCATAGATGCATTCAGTAAGCTCTCTACATATCCCCAGCTAACTGGAAGCCTATTCATACATCCCCAGCCCACTAGGAAATTTTACCTATGCATGGAGGAAACATAAGGAAGCCTGGTAGAAAATATTAATAAAGGTTGGAGCAGACCTGAAAACTGCCTGAACTTTGAATGTACTCAACCCACTCTAGTAGGTTGAATCATGTCCTCCAAAAATTCATGACCACCCAGAACCTCAGAATGTGACCTTATTGAAAACAGTGTCTTTACAGATATAATTAATGAATGATAAAGCAAGATCATCCTGGATTTAAGTTTTGCCCCAAATCCAGCGACCTACATTCTCATAAAAAGAAGAGAGTAGACACACAGAGATACCTGAAGAAGAATGCCACATGGAGACAGAAGTAGAGATTGGAGTGATGGGGCTACAAGACAGGGAACACCAAGGATTGCCAGGAGCCACCAGAAGTTGGAAGAGTTAAGGAAGGCTTCTCTCCCAGAGCTTTTCAGGGAGTGTTGGTAGGGAACAACACCTCGATCATAAACCTCTGGCCTTTGAATCTTGAGAGAATAAATTTCTGTTGTTTTAAACCACATTTTGGGAACATTTGTTATGTTAGTCCCAGGAAACTAATACACCCCCAAACAGATCCACTGGTAGTAAATGGAGGCTTTACTGGCTCAAGGTGTTGTAGTCCAACCTCTGACAAACCACTGGGTGATCACTAAACTAGGAAAGCACAGACACAACCTTAAGAGACCAGACTAAAAAAAATAGAATTTTCTTTAAAATCTGAGCCAAAAATCATTGACTGTACACCAGGGTGATGGGGGCTGAATTTCACAGATTTATTCCAGATAAGTTACAAAAAGAACTAAAAAACTAGCAACAACAACCTTTGATAGGGAAAAATCAGAATCTAGAATTCATAGTAGCTTTGGTAGCTTTAATACCCTATCTAAAATATCAAATTTTCAATAAAAGCCCTAAAGACATGTAAAGAAACAGGAAAGTGTGACCCACTAGAAAAAAAAATCAAAACTATTCCTAGGAATTTAATCAAGAGAAATGACAACATACATCTACACAAAAATTTGTATTCATATGCTGATAACAGCATTGTTTTTAATAGTCCCAAACTGGAAATAATACAAATGTTCACCAGCTGGGGAATGAATTTTAAGAATATGTGTTAAGTATATCCATATGATGGGATATATTCAGCAATATAAGGAGAGAGCAGTTATTGGTAGACAATTCAAATGCATGACTTTCAAAAACATCATGCTAAGTGAAAGAAGCAAGACAAAACACTACCACCGTATGACTTAATTTATATGAAATGTCCAGAATAGAAAATCTGTAGAGTTAGAAAGCAGATCAGTGGTTGCCTGGGGCTGACAATGAGAGTAGGAACTAGCTGCCAACAGGCACAAGGAAACTTTTCGAGGAGATGAAGATGTTCTCAAATTGGTTTGTGATAATAGCTGCACAACTCTGTATACTTCCTGAAAGTCATTGAATTATACAGTTACACTGGATAAATTTTAAGGTATTTAAGATAAATTTTATGGTATTTAATTTGTACTTCAATAAAGCTTTTTTAAAAACTATATATATATATATATATATATATATATAATAAATGGAAGGTAAAAAAAAAAAAAACAGTTAATATAAGTCAGAGTGCAATGAAATGCTTCGGTTTTGAGTGTAGACTGAGAGCCATGGTCCATCAGGATAAACCAGAGTAGAAGTCAGCTGAGCCAGCTGCACAGCCTTAATCTGAATCCTAAAAGGTAGGAAAGATTTGAATTTTAGAAAGAGGAAAGAGAGAGCATTCCAGACAAAGGAAATAGAACAACCAAAGGCGAGACAACAGCATGAATTGGATAGCAAAAAAGCTGTGTTTGGGGAGTCATGAGGAATGCAAACAGGTACAACAGGATCAGGTTATGAAAATATTAGAAAATGGGGCAGAAAAGGAAGAAATTAAAAGAGGGGCCGGAAAAGAATGTTACTTCATTATTGGCATCCACGTGAACCCAAGAAACCAAGGTTTGTCTTGTTTGAAAGGACAAACTTGGCAAATAAAAATGTCTGTGAAGAAACTGTACTCTTTACAAGTAGCAGGAAATAATCAATGACTTCATAGGTGTATGTAATAAACAACTTGTAGCTTGAAGTCTAAACTCAAACTACAAGACATTATGATTTACTATGAGAATAAACGATCCACTTGCCATACTCTTAAATAATTAATTTTATTATTATTTCAAGTGAAGAAGCAAGACAAATTAACAAATGCCACATTTTAATGAGTTTACTGCTCCAAGAATAATATTAAATGCCATCTTTTTTTCTTTTAATAGAAATCTAAAAATCTATTCACATTTCACTGAATCATGCACAGGTTTGATTTGTAGAAAGGGCAGATTCTTTTCAGTTCAACTAAACTACTAAGATTGCTGAACCACAAGTCAACTCTGAGCCACTCAACTTTTCAATTTTGAACACTTATTTTCCTGGCAATCAAGGGTAAGCTGAGACGAAATTATCATGCGGACAGGATTCAATTATTTAGGTCCCCACTCCATCCTATTAATCAAGACTGTCCAATGCCATAACAAAAAGTTCTAACACGAATATGTATGCAAAATAAACGCAGAGCCAAGTAACACCCTTTCTCCCATAACCTTTGGTTTTGCACTCTCATCACGGAATGTATATTGCCTACCAGAGAATCATTCAGCTAAACTTCATATTTTTTTTTATTTGTATCTACCACTTTTTCCAACAGTCAAATAGACATTATATATACATTTTGTTGAATGAGGTGTGATCTAAAATCCAGGACAATTTTCATTATGTCAATTCCAATTTTAGCCTTAGCTAATTTTGCCATTCTCCTAAATTAATAGCTGAAAGTTTTACCTTTAAAAAATAAGAATACGTATCTATGCCACTATTATTAGGGTTTCACAGTCATGTTATGAAAATGTAGGAAACTCTGTGCTACTGAGAATAGCTAATGGGGCTGCACAGAACTCAGCAAGGGCCTTGCACCTAGTCAGGGGGCCAGGGTCTGCTCTTGACTCTGCCCAGTGTGACCCTGGGGAGCTCTTCTACCTATGGATTCATCTCATCTTCCCCATCTACAAAATAGAAGGCACAAACTCTGGAGTGCTAGGACAAAATGAGACAAAGTAAATTACATTTCCACCAGATATCTAAAATGGGAAAAATAAATTCTAGCATGACTGAGCATCATATTATGTTTTAAGTTAAAACTAACATTCAAGTGTTTACTCTTTTTTATGTCAGGATGTTTTAAATATGTAATTCCTATGTATGTAGCTATAGTTTCTTGTTAAGGACTTGAAATTTTTTAAATTAATACTCACTGTTTTTGATTGATGAGGGAAATCAGAAAGACCAAAAGTAAAAATTCCATGTTTGCCTCCAACTCCTCCCTTAATTCTTAAGTGTATTTTAAGACTACCCAAACATAAATATTTCTTTTAATTAGTAAAAATAATATTACTTTCTAAACACAGTTTCTTAAGCAAGGAAGTAACAAATATAATCCTACAAACACTTTCTTTTCATTGCTGCTCCTCTGAACTAAATGTTGAATAAATACACTACAGTATAATTTATAAAAACATATACTGGATATAAGAATTATCTTATGCTGACAAACATGGATTTACAATCAAATTAAAGCAGAAATGTACTAAAAAGCTATTTAGTCAAATTCTGCACCAAGTTATTTAGGTGTGATTCAGCCTGAAGTTTATTGGATTTGTGGTTTTATCTCAACACACCTCTAAAGAACAAATTGCCAATCTGGTATTTTTCTCTTGGAGTAATGCACGGTATAATTCACTATGGCAAGCCAAATAGTTAACTTCTAATTTGGGGGACAGCTTATTCATGCAACATTTTAATGATCATATATCTTTATCCCAAAATTAATCGGTTCCCAGGTTAAATCACTCCAATCCTTTCTTCCACAATCTGCAAGAGTAATTGCTGTTTCAGTTTCAATCATGGAGCAGTAAATTTAGATTTACTTTTAGGCAGCTGGTTTATAAGTCCCTGGATATGCATAATTTCATAAAGTGATTGAAGTCATCTTGATATTATATCAACAGCAGCTTATCTATAGCATCAACTCCAAGCAATTAAAACAAATTAACGTTTTATGTGTACCTTTCTCAAGTAGTTTGCCTTTGTAGACACAAAGATTTTCCCCACCACAGTGCTGTTGATAAATTTTTATTTCATCCCGGAAGTCTGGGTTATCATAAGATAGGTGTACATTTTTCCCCAAATAGATCATTGTAATAGCTGCATTACTATGTGGCGATGTTTTATAAATACTTCTTGAATCCTAAAATAAACAAAAAAATGAGGTTTATTAACTAATTACTTTCTAACCAAAGTTCTTATTCTCACATGACATTATAATTTAAAGAATTAAAAACGCAACATTTATGTGCCTACCAACAAAACCTTTATAAAGCGGCAATTTACACACTGCAAAAAAATTGAAGCCCATTACAAATTAAATCCTTCTAAATAACTATAATATATAAATTTTGGCTTTGTATTTTTAATGTAAATACTAGGGATTCAGACAAAGTGTGTCTTTTTTTATTTTAAGTGTTATGTGTTCATACATAAAACGTCAATGATGCTAAGAGGAAAGTTCTTTTGGTTCTTTCAGCTGGTTCTCAAATAAAAATTCAAACAAATGAATTAAATAAATATTGGTGACATCATTTGGTTCCAATCTGAATTGACGCTGATTATGATTTAGCAATAGTTTCTGTAATCGAATGCTTTATCTTTACAATGAACACTGACAACACATCCTTCCCTGGGCTTCTTCCCTCTGAGAGGAAGATACACACATTTGATTCCTTCTACGGTCATTCTGAGGATGAGGGATCATGTATGTTATGAGCCAGGGATCATCCAGTTTCACATGAGGCATTCAGTTCAATGAGAAAAAAACAATATTGTTTTTAATATCAAAACAATATGCCTAACAAAGTCTTAAAAATTACCTGATAAACCTATTTGATATTCTATGGCATTGCCCAATTTAAATTATTTATAAAATATGCAATTAATTTATATGCCAAAGAGTAAAAGAAATGTCTCAGGCATTGCCTAATTGATAGTCTGAAGTGTTTTCATAACAGTGAATGAGCATAGTGTTAGCCTAACCTCTAAGAGAAGGAGGAAGAGGAGGAGGGAGCAGGAAATGGAAAAGGAGGAAGAGGGAAGAGGCAGAGAAACAGGAAAGGCTGGGAGGGTCAAGAGACATTAAGAAGGCCTAGTGAGAACATTGCAGACCTCTAGAATTAACAGGCCAGGCTTTGCTTCTCATCTACTTCACTTTTCTAAAAATCAATTTTTAGCTAAAAGAAAACTATGGAGAGAATGACTTTCAGTGGATCCAAGGCAGTTATTTGAGTTTGATTTCACCGATTATGGATGCACGGGAAGCATGCATTTTTTTAAGAATAACAAAGCTGCAACAACAATTTTTTAAGGAACTACTAAAATATTTCCATCCCCAAAACCATCCCCTTCCACCTCACAGTATTTTTTTTTATTCAATTCTATTGTTCTGAAGCAAAAACCAGAGGAAATAAATCTGATGAAATGAAATTCTGCGAACAGTCTGAAAAGTATAAATGGGGGAGAAAATCTAAGAGTTGAAATTCAAGCAAATCGCCCTGCCTATTGGAAATAAGACCTCCCAAATAGAGAGATAATTGACAGACATATTTTAGGGGCATTGAGAGCTGCAAAGGTAAATCAGCGCACTGGATAATTCTTTGCAGATTAGAAACATCTCCCTGAATCACAGTTGAAGCAAAGAGATGATGGCAGGCCTGGCTCTCACTTGCAAAATCATAATCTCATGTTTCCTCTTGCCCCGGGAACTGTGGGGTTGTGACATGCACATGTGCAGCCCACTGCACAATCAGCAGACCTACAGCGAATCCAGCTCCAAGCTGCGGCTAGCACATTTAATGAAGTCACTGATTAAATAAAAGCATCTCCCTTTTGTTAAGCAATGCTTTCTAAAATGGCATGGATTTAGAGGTAGGCCTGTGAGCTTCCAGGAGATAAGCACTATATAAATACAAGGTAACAGTGGGATTAGAGGGGGAGAAAGACCTGCATCACATGTAGGAAATGGGAAACTAGAGGGAGAAACTTTAAAAAGTAAAATAAAGGGAATGGCAGCCCCTCGCCCATTTCATTTCCTCTTATTCATATTTTTTTCTGCTAAAGCATATTTCTGATAGTGACATCTCTTTTCTTTTGAGTTTAGTTATTTCTTTCCTTTTGTAAAAAATATTCCCCAGTTATTGCCGCCAAGTAAACTTTTCTGGGTTCTAACAGGAGGCCCACATGACAGCTCGTTATTAAATACATGCACTAGGAACCAAACAATTGTTTCTTTCAGTTGACTAAATTGCCTCTATACTTACCATCTTGCAAGGTTATAATGACCTCAGACAGATGAAACTTTAATAGGGTCTCAACGCCCTTTCTGCTGTCCTCAAGCAAGTATCAAAACCTTCTATGAGAAGTCAGTTCCATTTCAAGAACAGGAGCAAGTCCTCCCCATATCCCTATACAACTAAGGCTTATCTTTCCGACTTTCCTTCTCATTTCTTTTCATATTTCTCAGGCAAGAATAATCTGAGCTGACAAATAAACAGCAAGCCCATTGAGTGGTTAACCAGTCAGCCATTATAAATTTGCAATATTTAGCATTCCATTGATCACTAAGTTTTTACTGGGATTTCTGTGTGAGGAGTAGGTTTAAGAGACAGTAGAGGTATCACTGTGCCTGCTCTTGTTAAAGTGTTGGGCAGCAACTCCTCTCCTTCCACTTAAGCCCTGGTGCATTCTGGACATCATGAAGTCCTACCTGGACCCCTGTAATAGTAGGGTGACCATAGTGTTTATCATTCAAACTGGGACAAATAGAGAAAGAAATGTTACTAATAATTATAGTAGAGGGAAAAAAGAGGAGAAATTTGAACTGTTTTAGGAAAACTGGGATGTATGGTCACCCTACTAATTACTCTCCCCACTTATAGTCTGATATTGCACAAAATATCTCTCCCCCTGAGTATCAGAATGTATTCCTCTCTCCCAGTAGATAAGGGTGGTGTCTACTGATCTTCATGCCCCCAGGAGTCCTGCCAGTGCTGGCGCCTAGTAAGGACCTAATAAATGTTGATCTGACTAGACACAGACATGGAACAATGAGGCATTTTACATTCTGTCCTTTGCTGAAACAAAAGGTACAGTAGGTTGGCTCTGCCCTAAAGTGGAAGCTTTCTACATTTATAGGAACGCAATAAAAACTGATTCACAGTGTCCTATTCAATTAAACAGCAACTTTGGTGGTTATTCTTTGATAAAGGTTGATACAGAAGCCAGATTGACCATGAAGAGCAGCAGTCCCCATGACTTCGGTGGCATCAGAGAAAGAAAAGCTGACACAAGCCAAAGGAAGCGTGTTCACATCCTAAAGGCTACGAAAGCAGCTGGTTGTCATGAAAACCTCTTCTCACTACACTCAATGGTTTCTTCCCTTTCTCTTCTCTTTCCTGCTGGTTTTGCCTTGTTTTCTCCTCCTCCCTCCTTTGTTTTTAGTATGCTTTCTATTTTCACGTTCCTCCTGCTCATTTTTCTTAACACCATATGACCCATACCTCATGCTTACTCCTGACACACCCAGAAACTCTGCAATCCTTCTAGAGGCATCAGAGCTCTAGATTTTGAAGATCTGCTTCTCCTATTCCTTCCACTGGAAATCATAATAAAGGCTCTTGCCCACATTTTCCTCCCCACTCCCTCTGCCTTCTAACCTACCCTGCTGCTTCCTTGTGTGGTGCTGCATGGTATGGTGTGATGGTTAATTTTATCTGTCAGCTTAGCTGGACCATGATACCTAGATTGGTGGACAAACATTATTCTGGATGGAACTCTGACTGATGCATGTCGTGTGCCGCCTCCTCTCGGGAACCTTGAGTAGCAGACTATCTTTTCAATGGCAATTGTCTCCCAATTTATAGGTCTCAGCATATCTGAATAATAATAAATCCCATATTTTAAAATAGCCAGGCAGAAGAATATACCTGATTTTATTAGGAAAGGGGCAGCCAGTGAAGGTGTTAGGCAATGGAGGAGCATGTTGGGAGCTTTTCTACAAAGTTTAATCTAGTATCATTATGAGAATCTACCAAAACTGAGATGAATTTTGCTTACTCTTTTTTTCCCCTTCTTGCCTTTCACCCTCAGCTCCCTGTTTCTATCTGCTAACTTCCTACTCATTGTTCAAAGCCACTTTCGAATGCCACTTTCTCTCTGAGGCATTCTCTAATCTCCTCAGTCAGAACTAGTATTTCTTTCCTCTGTGTTCCCATTGTGCCCTATTTAGATTACAATGATAGTACTCATCACAATGTATCATGGTTAATTGTAGATATTTCTGTTACCCTTGCTAAACTGCAGTATTTCTGAGAACAAGGATTTACTTTTACCCATCTTGGTAACCTCAGCACCTAGCTGATTATTGTCACAATCAATAAAAGCTAGAATGAGCTACTTGTTCATTTAGAGGCAGGACATAAGTATGAAGATGATTGCAACAGCCCCATTAAGAGTTTATTAGCAAGCCCTTGAACTAGGGATGCAGCAGTCAGAATGGAAAAGGATTATCAGGTACATGAGCCATTGTCAAGGTGGAATCCAGAACCATGCTATCCAAGACAGCAGCCATTTGCTCTATTTGGCTGTTGGGCATTTGAAAGGTGGCTCCTTCAAATGAGATGTGTTATAAATATAAAATACTTAATTTCAAAGACACAGCAAAAAAATATTAAATATCTCATTGAAATTTTTCATATTGATTATATGTACAAATGATATGTTGGATATGATTGATTAAATAAAATACATTATTAAATTTATTTTACATGTTTCTCTTTACCTTTTTAATGTAACTATTAGCAAATTTAAAAATTGTACATGTAGCTTGCCTTCTATGTTTACTGGACATCTCTGATCTAGAGGGCTTAGCAACTAACTGAATGTGTGATGCAGAGGGAAAAAGAAATTTAGATTTCTAGATTTTTCTAGAATTTCTTCTTTTGAAGAAATCTAGATTTCTTCAAAATCTAGATTTTGAGACCAAATTACTGGTGCTTTAAAGGAAATAAGGCAATTGTATGGAGAAGCTGGCTTAAGTTGTAACCATGTCAAAGTTGAGGGGCAGCAGGACCTATCAGTTAGGCATCTGAAATTGCACCAGGCTCATTTGGAGCCTAAGAGGTGGATACGGGGCTTTGA